AGACCAACGTGTCGTCTCTCTTCCACCAATCGGTGGAGTTCAGTGTGGAGGTCGACGCCCACCCACCCCCCACCATCCTCTGGACCAAAGACAACAACACCGTCTCCACAGAAACCACCTCCGTCACCACCACGCACCTAAAGGGAAGCAGGTGGAGCAATAACAATAAGAGACAGTCCTATACTCCTGGTTGATTGGTTAATTGATGTTTGGTTGGTTGGTTGATTTGGTGTTGGTTGATTGGTTGATTTATTGATTGATGTGCAGGTACGTGAGCAGACTGATGCTGGTTCGAGTTCAGGTGGATCAGACAGGAAATTACACAGCAACTGTTTCCAACGAGGACGACATTGTGGAAGTCTTCTTCCACCTCGAGGTCAAAGGTCAGACAGAGAGAGAGAGACAGGATGATTGACAGACAGTGTTCGTGTGTGTCTTTACGCGTGTGTGTGTGGGTGTGTGTGTGTGTGTGTGTGTGCAGCGCCCCCCAGGATCACGTCTCTGTTGGAGGCTGGCAGAAAGTCCATCCTGTGCGTCAGCGAGGGAGCTCCGCCCCCATCTGTCACCTGGTACACCTGTCACAGTTCACACAGGTAAACACACACACACACACGCACACATCAGGGTAACAGTACATGTGTTGCCATAGTAACTCTGTTTGTCCCCTACAGGTGCAGTAATCTGACGGGCGGCTGGAGGAGCCTATCAGCAGCCTCGGAGGGCATGGCTCTGCAGGAGAATGTCACGGAGCAGAGAGGCGTCACCCAGGTAACCGGTGACATCATCACTTCATCATCAGCGATGTGAAGATGATTGACAGCCGTGTGTCGTGTCTCAACTGTGCAGGTACGCAGTGTGCTGACTCTGCAGAGTCACACCTCCGTGTCAGCTGTTCGCTGTGAAGCCAAAAACTCAGCAGGACGACGAGCCAGAGACCTGCGAGTACTGTCCAGCTGTAAGTACTAATACTGTACTACTACAGTAGTACTACAGTAGTACTACTGTAATACACTCTAATACGTTGGCAACTAGAAAATTCCAAGCTTCCTAATGCACTTAAACCTGAACGGGGAACCGAAGCAGTCAAATTTTACATTTTTACCGTCTCACTGACAGTATTTTATATCCTGACATGTCTTGTAAGACTTCTCTTCAGCCACTAGATGGAGACAGAGAGTTTGTAGACGGTTCTTTAGAGCTCTTTGGTTGTTTATGAATATTGATTGAGTATATTACTATTTTACATTGTTTGTAATACGGCTATTTGGAAATAAGTAATGTTTTCTAGTAAAACTCTTTTAAACAGTAAACATGAGTATTTCCTAATAAATAGTATCATCAATTTTAGTGTATCTTCATCATCGTAATAAAGAGAAGTAGAAGACATAAAATGCATCATCATCATAGATGTTGGTTATAATACTGATATTGATATAAATTATAAGCTAGTCAGGATAAAATCCCTCTACCTGTCTCTCTCTCTCTCTCTACCTGTCTCTCTCTCTCTCTCTCTACCTGTCTCTCTCTCTCTCTCTCTCTCTCTCTCTCTCTCTCTCTCTCTCTCTCTCTCTCTCTCTCTCTCTCTCTCTCTCTCTCTCTCTCTCTCTCTCTCTCTCTCTCTCCCTCTCTCTCTCTCTCTCTCTCTCTCTCTCTCTCTCTCTCTCTCTCTC